CAGAGCCCCGGCGCGACGCTTTCCACGCGGGGATCAAGCGCACAGCAGCCACAGCGCGGAGAGGGAGCGAACACCCGCGGAACCACACAGCAAATTAAAAGGAAGCCATTTTTTTGTTGTTTTTCTGCTCTTATTCCCACAAACGAGGCGACCGACTCCGGTCTCCACAGCCTCCCGGCCGGCTCTGGGCTGGGGCAGAGGGGTGGGCAGCCGGTGTCTGAGCGGTTATAGGGTGAGGAAAGGCTCTTCTCCAGTTTTAGCTCCGGAGAAGGCGGTTGCCGGGAAAATTCGCTGAGCGAGCCTTTGGTTAAACCGTGGGTTTGTCGCCTTGCTCTGAGTTTTTGGCGTTTTCAGAATTTCTTCCTCAATTCGCTGTTGAACTCGAAACACGGATCGGTGCCCTGTTGGATGCTTTAACGTTTTGCGTAGCGCCCAAGTGAATGGGGAGCTAAAAGCCTGTCTTCAAAAGTGAGGGCAGGCTGAATTCAGCAAGTGAGTTAGGCGCAGCAGCAGCAGCCTCCCGCTGCTCGGGATTGTGCCTGAGAACACAACCTTCAGCAAGCAGAGGCAGAGCAGAGGAGCTGCCTGACCGCCCCATTGTGAGGGCCGGGCGGAGGGGAGGGGGTAAGCCTGCGGCTCAGCGGTAGCCCCATGCCTAAATCCAGGCTCGTCGTCTTGTGTGAGTCCCCTGAGTCGCACCAGACCTTCTTCTGAAAGATATGGGACGTGAAAGGTCTGTTGAACAAACCGACTGGACACCTTCACGGAGGAACGGGATACTTAGCGCTAATTCCTGGTGCTGCCTGGTTTCAGGTAAACAGCTGAACTCAGGTATTTTGTATGCAAAGTGAAAATCCCAGTCACCAACTTCTTAAGGACTCAGGGGTAATTGCTCTTCATCCCTCCTAATGATACATTTGATTTTGTATTAAACACAGAGGTGGCCAGAGAGTGCAAGAAAAAGCAGCTGCTTAAATCGCCTCGTGGCCAGGACACTCCTCAGAGCCGTCGGGCCGTTCGGATTGAATCTAGCAGAGTGGTGACTGGCGAGCGAATCCTGTTGCTTGGGATGTAACTTGCTGTGCCCAGTGAGCTGCTGGGTGCAGTGAGGTAGTTCTCTCCCTCCTTAGTTTTCCACAAAAGAAGGCTGATGTGGCTTAGGCAATCAACTGCAAGGGAGTATGTGGTGCAGAGACACCTTCTTCCTCCCTATCGCAGTGCTGGGTCCCACTATATATACTTTAGAACATATATACTCTAACCCGAGGAGTGTGTGGAGTACTGAAGTTTCCTTTCATTAGCTTTTAACTCTCTCCGCATCTGGTGTGGAGCACAGTGGTGTCTGTCCCTGGTCTCAGCAATCTGTTCCACAGCAGGGATCCTAAAAACGAGGCATTGCGATAAGGGGCATTGCAACACACAGCTCCTCGGGGCTGGCCCGAGGCCCCTCCGCAACACAGACCCATTGTCTGTCCAGCTCTGCGGCAGGAGAAGCTGGAGGCAGAAGCAGAAGCAACAGCTCTGACTCATTTAACTACGAGTAGTAAATTCTAACCTGCTGCACAAGAGAGATTTGGTAGTGATTTGCTTACAACAGTAAATCGGTCAACGTTAACTCCACTCCATTGTACTTCTTCATCTCCAAGACCTTTTATCCTTCCAGGTTGGATCCAGTTCCCGCCCTGCAGTGATTAAAAGGAGAGCAAAAGAGGGAGCTACCTGGACATAATCTCCCTCGTGTGACCAGGAATGTGTAATAAATCCACCGTGCAAAGCTGCCCTTTTCATCTCAGGAAGTGGCAGCAGCGGAGGACCCCACGGCAGCATGCAGCAAAGCTCCTCCCGGGGGGTGGGAGGTGAGTGCCTGCAACCGGCTCACCCTCGGGCTGCTGCCTGGGGTGGGATGGAGTCCCCTTGATCAACAACTGGTTCTCGTGATGGTGCGAACCGCACTCTTGTTAGTGTATTAGAACACACCAAGCACATTTCTTCATGCTTAGCTCTGCGGAAGAGAAACAAACCTCTTCCGTAGGGTCACACCACAATCAAAGCTACTCAGTGAAGTGTGCAGACTCAGGGCTTGCTAGTGAGCTGGAAGAGAAACCTTGGGAGGGAGTTTAGTTTAGGAGCAATGTCAAAAATTTGAGTGATTTTGTGTCTATGGCCCACTCCCAGCAAAACTGGCGCAGATAATGGGGCAGTGGGGTCAGGGTGATTGGCACTGGACAGGACTGAGATCCAGGGACCCAGGCATAAAAAGATGCAGCCCAAACTAAATGTTCTTTCAGCCTAATTGAGCAACGCTTTTGTTGTGGGTGTTTTGTATCGGGCACCCAGCAGCAGGCAGGGCGGGGTGTGTACTTGGCGTACGTTGGAGAGAGAGGTACCACACAATGACAAACACGTTCAAGACCCTCTGAACATCACTGTCGCTGCCCGATGGAGGGGTAGAAAGAGAAAGAGCACCCGGGGGGGCAATATTCGGAGGTTTTGCTGTGACTCAGGCTCCCTTCGCATGCCAGAGAGAAAGGGAGTGGCAGTGGGAGGGGAAGAGGTCTGGTAGCAAAGGATGACAAGAATTGTGTTAACTGGAAGACTGCAAGTGGTGCGGGGAAGCTCTCGGGAACAGAAGAAAAGAGAATTATTTCCAAATGGCAAGCTGAAGGGAAGGAGCAACTTTCTTTTGATGCAATGTTTTGTGTGCATTCAGTATTATTATGCAAATACCAGCTAACACAAATACAGAAGTGAGGATGGGATGCTTTAAAACTCAAGGGGTGATTGTCTCACACTGTAAATGCATTTTGATGTAAGCCAGTGGACCTGTTCCCATTTACATCAGCAAAGGACTAGCAGAGATTTCTCTGGGGCTCTGAGACCTGCCCTCACATTACGCCAAGCTTGTGTGCTTTGGTCCCGGGGAGCATCTGCTCCTCACACTCTACTCGCTGAAAGCCATCAAGCCAGGTGTTTTTCAAAACCTTGTAATGAGCTTTGGACTTACTGTGAAAGCCACGTCCACGGTATACCACAAGAAGAGACAGTGGGGTGTCACAGATGTTGCCAATCTGACCAAAGATTTGCCTCTCTGTGACATTGTCAATCCTGTCTTTGGGTAGGAGGCTACATAAACAGTACACACTAAAGTCTATTTATAAAACAAACAGGGTTGCAAAATACAATATATGTTCGGTGGGACTGGAATAGACACAGAGAGAAACAGGAGTCAGTGGTTTTCAAAACACTTTAACACTTTAAGCATTAATTGCCTTGTATTAATTGCTGCCTCTTGAAGGCCGCTACCCGACTATGCAGAGACTGTAGGCTACTGAACAGAGATGTTCCTGGTCGCCTCTTAGCCAGGAACCCAAACCCGAGTACCAGGTGAGATCCCCAGCAGCTGAGAGCCTGTAGTGCCAGAAGACAGCAGGATGTCTCCGCAACAGTGATTGTATCAGATAACAACTGCATCGATATAAATAGTAATGCAAATGCAAACTTTCTTTAGTGATCAGCACAGCAAAAAAACTTCAGCCACGTCCTTTTTATAGGCAGCCTGAGTATTAACTGCGTATCCAATAGCTATATTCAGAAAGCTTAGACGAGCTTTTAGCTCAGAATTTTGATTTAGGCATTATTCAAAAGACTCTTCAGGAGTAAATTCTTAAAAATGAAATGTTTTAACTGCATTTCTGTCAGCTATGATACCTGAATTAGGATGAACTTAACAGCCTTACTAGCTCAGAGTTCAAGTGAGGATCTTTAGACAGCTCTCCCTTTAATTCAAGGAGCTCGGTGCACACATGTTAATTTTCCTTCTAAATAATTGCATCTTTCAAGTACATACTCAAAATCAATGCAAGTCCCTGGAAAGAAAGTAGCAAGTTGTACAGGGCATATAATAAAGTGAGAAAGCTGAGATGGACATGTAATCCTAAACTATTCTTACTTTCTAAAACACCAGGCTGAATTTCTTGAAATGTGAATTGTTTTTCCTTCCTCCAAGATGGCTTTAATACTAGCCAGGTTTGAAGTTTCTAATGACATTTATTTCGGAGCTATGTATGTATGTATGAGAATTTCACTTTGGATAGTTGGAGACTGTGATCTTTTTCAAGCTTGCATAATGTTTAACATGACTGAATCGATTTTCAAAACAAAGAAACGCGAAAGCGTTGAAAAATGCCCAGAACAAGAATGGGCATTTCCATTCCATAAGGAATTTGTTCGGAAAAAATTATATAGAGCGATTGGAATTAGAATCTAAGTTTATCTTCTGTCTGCTGGAAGGGAAAGTTATATTATAGGAGACAACCATTGGCTTCGGGTCTGGTCCAAAGCCCGATAAAGTCAGCGGTGTCTTTCCACCGGCTAACGAACAGGCTTTGGGACTGACTCATAAACTGCAGAGCTCCATGGAAGAGAATAAGTCTACACTGCTTATGTGAAAGTTAAATATAGCCCAATGTTTGTAAGTGTGTGTATGTATTATGATTAATTTAAAAGCCTGGTTAAGATTGAGTTACAGTTTCCATTTAATTCATATGCATGTGTTTGTATTTGTATGCATGTACATGTAAAGACAAACATCTGTGAATGTGTAGGCGCACATACAGCTTATGTCATAGAGATGATTGAATCAAGTATATACACATGATGGTAAATACCAGCGTTTACTACAGCAGATATCATCGCTGCAATGTATATACTCTGACAGATCTGAACGTATACTTTCAAAACCAGCAGCATCTGTTTACATTGAACTGCAATAAAAACTGAAGGAGGCATCAGTTAGTATTAGAATTTTATCTTTTCAATGTCCAGAAACAGTTTCTGTTCCTTTGATGTAGGCTGTCAAGCACTACTGGAAAATTGCATCTCTCTAATTACTGCATTCAGAGCAGAGGAAAGGGCATGACTGCCTGGCAGCATTTGTCAGTGGGGACCCTGCAGGGACTTGCTTTTTGGGTAATGATAAGAAAAGTTAACTCACATTCGAAAAACAGTAAAGCAGTCCTTGCACAAAGTGGGAAATAAAACAGAAGGGGCACTATTTTGGATGGTCTGGTAGAAAGCAATGCAGTTCTCTGTTCCAGCTATGATTAACCCTTATCTCTACTGGCTGCTCCCTTCAGACAGAGCTCCCTGCATCCTCCATCAGAGCTCAGCCTGAATAGAAATTCAGTGGCAGCAGGACCACTCCTTACACCGGTATGTGCATGTTCAGGCAGGTAACAAGCACCTGGTGAACCTGTGAAATAGTTGTATAGTGCCTGGCGATGTGGCTTCACATTTTGAGGCCTTTCGAGATGGTACTGTCTTATTTGCTCCTCATTATCCCCGTTCCTCATTTCTCCCCTTATATGGCAGAGGGCCTTCTTGGCTATGTGTCACAAAACATTTTACGGCATTTTAAACCTAGATCAGTTGCCTGATGAGATTTAGAGCTACAACCTTGCTAATGGTTGCAGTGGCAAAATGGAAGTTTCAAGGGAAGGGCGGCTAGAAAGCCAGAGCCCAATGAGCTTTATAATTTGACAATGCCACCAAAAATGGGTGGCATTTGTCCTTGCACAAAACTCTTTGTTGATATGAATAAGATCTTTCCTTTTACAGTCTAATTGCAACTGAGAAATAAGGGATTACTAAGGTTGTTCATGCTCTTTTCCTCCCGTGTAAACAGAGAGCAAGCATTTCTATACTTTACATATGAAGTATATGTACAAAAGACCCAGCCATCAGCAGTGTGCACCCTAAAGTGCACCAGAAAGAAAGGCCTGTCAAAATAATTACACCTTTTCTAATATCCCTACCATACTGTGGTAGCATCCAGAACAGAAGTGCTTCCAGGAGATGAGCAGGATGTAAGACAGCCAAGCACAGCCAGAGGGGAGAGCGATCCCAGAGCAATGACTCTGGATAAAAAAGTGCAAAGGAAAAATAGCCAGCTAGCATCCAGCGGAACTGAAGTGAATATCTTGTGGGCAATCACAGCATCTTCCATGTAGAGACTGACAAAGCACAGATGGGGGGGACAGGGAGCTAGAAACACACTCCTAAAGATGCAGTTTAGGGTGAACAGCAGCAAGAACGCTGCAGAAGACACTGGCTGCATTGTATTGTGCCTGGCAGCAGCGTTTATTTCACATGGGCAAAAAAAGTGCAAGAACATAAACATTTGCAAACCATTTACTTTACTGGCAATTCATAAGGAGAACTCGCAGAGAGCTTAATGATTCCACAGCCTGGCCCAGGGGGACTGAGGTATTCACTCATATTTTAAGAAGGAGATCAGGCTAAAAAGGGAATTCTGTCTCTCCCGGTCGCAGGGTTTCTGCATTGCGGGAGAGCAGTTGGCCACTTGGATTCTGCTTGTCCTGGAGCACAGGTGAGCTACAGGTATCTGAATCTCACAGAGCAACTTGGCATGTTCTCTGCTGTCTAGAACTAGTTGGTGCTCCTGTGTTGGACTGCGCAGTTTCCTAGAGGCGTAACAGCACCTCCTAAATGCCAGGAACTCAGAAACTAAGCAGCTACACAGTTCACTCCCAAAG